AATTAACTGTTAAAATTCTAACGTTTCCTAATGCTTCAGGCCATTTAGGAAATTCTTTTCTTAGAGCAAATTTGAAATCAGATTTCATATTTGATTTAGTCTTGTTTATTCACGTGGGGGGGACCACTTATTTAAACAAATCTTCCCTCTCTCCCCATGGCCGGCCACTCATTACTCCTCCCCTTAATTAAGAGCTTAATTCATGGCTCCAAATAAGGCTCCATTTATTCCTAATTTTCCTCCTAAGCCTAAATTTCAAATTTCAAAATTTGAAATTACAAAGTCCCAATTAAATTTCGGAAAATCTGAAATCAATTTCAGATTTCCCCCACCCAACCTAGTTCTTGCTTGGCTGAACTCAATTTCAGGTTTTCCTATTTACGTTTCCCTCCTCTAAATCAAATCTCCATCTACTAATATTGCAACCAGAGATTCCCGCAAGGTTTATTTGTTTCCCAGCACCGTGAAGCTTCAAAATTGTTGCTGTCTTGGAAATTCCATCAAAGGAAAGTCAGTGTAGCTTGCTGCCAGAATCCTCATACTGCTGTCCAATGCTCTCGTATAGTTGTTGTTTGGATTTCCTAAGCCATACAGCTTGCTGAATTTCAGATTTTGGAGAGGAGATCCTCTCCGTAGCAAAGCCAATTCGTTTCCGTTCTACATCATCCCTGCTTTCATTGTGCCATGAAGATACTGCCCTTCCCACCTCCACTTGTTCCTTCCACCCTTTGCCAACTACCCTCTCTATTATAAGGTTATTTATTTTAGATGTTTTGGCTCTTTAGGAACCTATTATTTTGTAGGTATATTATGATGTATACTCAGTTCTTTGGCAATCCTACATCTCTATTTTCTACTCTTTGGCTTGGTTGATCTCTATTTTGTGACTTCTCACATTTTTGGGCTATTGTTTGGGTGTTCCATGATGTGTTGATATGGACCATATGGTTGTACCTAGCTTACTAAAAATGTTATTACTCGGTTGCATTGTAGTTCTTTAGTCTCTAATTAGGATTTTTATTCTTTTTCTTTACTTTTTTGTAGTGTTTTTACTCTTTTTTTTTCTAGGATTGTACGGATGTTTGTATTTCTCTTCCTTGTTTTTTGTCTTAATTTCCTAATTGCTGAGGAATCTTCTTTTGATTTAGTTATTCATATTATGTTTCCTTGTTTTAGATTTAGTTATTCATGCCATGAATCAGATTACATTTTGATCTGTTTGTAGAACTTGTATAGCTTTTTTACATTTTATCATCCAATCACTACAGACACTGTTCCTGTTGAAATCCTATAGACATGCTCGGAGCGTTAGCCATCATATCTATCCAGGTGAAACCTGCCTACTTTTTTAGTTTGGTGTTTATATTGTTTTGTTAAGTATATGTTGAAAAAACCTGAATTTCATCGATCATGTGCAATTTAGGTATCATTGCTCCAGTTTGCCCAAGCTCAAGAAGGTTAGCAGCAGCCGTAACTTCTTTCCTTATTTTTTGCACTTCTTTTTGTCATGTCCTGGAGCATGATTGATTTAGTAGTGATGTTTTATTTCACTGTTCTTTTTCTTCTTCCACAAGTTATTTTTTACTCATTTTTTAAGGTATTGGGTCGTTAGTTTTTTTTTTAATTGTAAATTTCTTTATATATCACTAGAATTTTATGATATCAATTTAAATGATGCAGGGAACTTAGTGGAGTTCTTCCAAGGGTTTCCCAATACCAACTATTGAGTAGATCATTTTCATCTGATAAGGGTAGGGGCTTGCACATAGATATTTCTCCTTATTATCTTTTGATTTAGATAACCTTTTATCATTTTGAAATTCCTGTAAAACATTGGTTTTATGTTTATCCAAGTCATTTTATTTTACTCTTTTGTGCTGTAAAGGTGACTTGGCAGAGGCAGTTGTCCCATTCATGGGTGAATCTATTACTGATGGGACCTTAGCAACCTTTTTGAAGAGTAAGTGATGCTCATTTTCATTTTTTCTTATCTAGTAAAGATGCATCCGGATAAAGTTAACTTATCAAAGTATATTTTTTCTCTATGATGATTTCTCAGTTTTTGAGTTAGCTTCCTAATAGCAATGGAATGCAAAAACTAATAGTGATTAGTTATGCACAATTAAATATCGAGAGATGACTTTAACAATAGTTTTAGATTTCACTCTAGGATGACGAATGCTTATATTTTAATCATTTTTCTAAACTCATCAAGATTTCTAGCAGCAACCCCAATAAACTCATCCAGATTTCTTAGTTTTTACTTTTTGAAAATTGTAGTGCTAATTTTCATGTACTTGAACATAAATTTGACAATGAAAAATTTGTCGATGTAATAAGGATAAATCTCCATTGTGTCATGTTAAGAGTCAAATTCTCATCTAAATCTAATAAAGAAAAGTCATTTCTAATATTTTTCTAACCAAGTATTTTTAGGCCTTCCTCTATCTTTCTTAACATAAGTCAAATCTAATACATCCACTTTCCCAACCAGGTTGTCGAAAGGCCGCTGTTTTATGTGACAAACCATCTAAGACTACTCACTCTAATCTTATCTTCCTCTAGATAATAACATAACAAGAAAAAAAATTAATTGTTATGCAATGAGTAAGATATAAGTATGAAACAAGATCATCAATATTTCACTTCATCTATAGTGGGTGAAAGCTCTTAGATCATTAAATAATTCATTTTTCTTACACTTGTATCCTTATTTTGCGTAATGTAGATTTATTATATTTGTGAGACCATGTCATACATCCTTAGTGATTTAGCTTAATTTTATGGTTCCCTACAATATTTTATTTATCTTTTTTATTGATGGACAATTTATCTATTGAACAATACAAAAGTTTTAACCCTCTAAGCATCGTATCAAAGTGAGTTAGTGACCCTAGAAACATTTGAATACACTTTCTCTTAGCCAACCAATCCCACCCTCTGTATCATTCTTGAGCTTGTGCCTTTCATTCGCTTGCTTTAATCAAACCGCTTAAAACTGGCAATGTACACATCATGGCTATTTAGATCTCCTCCCATCATGTTGATAATGCTCACTTTCTACCTGTCATCACATCCATCAATCGCAGCCATAGTTGAATCTTCATTCACTTCTACTTGCATCATTGACCCAAACTCTGCCCTAGGCTATATTAGAGTACATGCATTTAGTAGTCCCATGATTTACCTAAATACATCAAATGAGGCAAATAACTAGAAATAATGATAAAATGCAAAATTTCCTAGTTCTTGAGAATTAGGACGACATATGTACCAACATCATGAGGACAATGCCCTAAAATCTAGGTGCTCACGGGTGCAAGGAGAAGAGGCAGAGCAAAGGGGTCAAAGGCCAAACATGTTGTGTATGCAAGCGCAAGGAGGCTTCATACCATGCAAGTGTGCATGACCTCACAAAAATGGCAAGCGCGATTGCCCCATATGAGAACACAATGACTCAAGCCCTCGTGCATGTGTGAGTAACGTGACAAGTGAAGGCCTTGGGCATAGGGCTTTGAACTAATGTGAGTTCCCCCATCCCATTGGTCACTTGGGTTTTGGTGGAATTGCTAGACTAAGCTAGCTCAAGGTTTTAAGCTTATTTGACTAGATAGAGTATAAATTGACCTTGGTTAACTCTAAGTTAACCGCATCTCATCAATGGGTCCAAGGATTGTCCATGGTTTAGCTATCCTCAGTTTTAGTGTATGGTTCACTTGAACACTATGTTAATTGTGTAGGATCCGCTCTAACTTAGTTTTAACCTTGCTCAACTCTAGAGTCAAAATTGATCATGTTGGGTCAAATCATCTTAGAGTTGACTTGGTCACTATACAAGATGCCTTGATGTACTTGACCTAGTTTGAGTTTGGTAGGGTGCAATAGAAATAATCTAGGGTCTAATTAGGGTTAACTTGATTGCGTTCTAACTTTAGTCAAGCCTAGGTTAATAGTTCCCTAGGATCCATAAGCTAGCCTAGGGTTTGTTGGGTTTTTAGTGGGTTCAAGGGTTTAGGAGGTTCCTAAATTAGACTGAAGTCAATGTGTGCTAAGCATCTCCTAGGTTCTAGGGAGCAACAATACTACGTATGCATCCTAGACAAGATGCCTATTTTAGTGGTGTCTAAATTGAACTCAACAATCTTTAGCCCTTTTTATTAAGGGGTTGTTTGGATTGAAGTAAAATGGGTGTAGAGTATTTTAGATGCAAGGGTTTTGAAAATAGTGTTGTTTAGTTTGAAGTAAAAGAAATGCAGAATAAATTTTTTAAATTATTTATAATTCACACTCTAGTTCAATTTTGGTATATTTGTAAATCATTAGATTTGGCCGATTACAAATATACTGTAAATTTTCTATCATCGCTGACCTCATCTCCGCCTCTTGCCACCACTGGTCACTGCCCAATGCTGTCGTTATTATCGCCGCCTTCGGCCACTGTCAACTACCATTGTTGAGATTTACACTTCATTCATTTTACTTGAAGGCAAAAAAAAAAAAAACCACCTCTATTTATTTTTCATTCATTCAAATATACTGCATTATTTTTACATTTTACTCCGGATATCTTTCTCATCCAACCAAATAACCCCAAGTGAATTGTTTAGGGGTTGTATTGTGGATTTTCAAGTTGATTTTTGATAGTTGTATAGATTCATGTTTCTACTCATGCATCTCATTAATGTATGAAGTTATAAGCACTATGCTATACTGCATGTGTGCTTCCAACCGTGTGATTCTAGGTGCTTGTATGGTAGGCTAAGTGAATGCTAATTTTCGTTCTTGGCTATTTGTATCAAAATCAGAACCTGGTGATAGGGTCGCGGTTGATGAACCAATTGCGCAGGTTGAAACTGACAAGGTATTTTCTTTGCTTTTGATTAGTCTTGTATCACTAAACTGAGGTTACATGACATTGAGAATGTCAAATATTTATTCATCAATCTTTTCTCAGGTAACCATTGATGTTGTCAGTCCAGAAGCTGGAGTTATTGAAAAGGTAAGATAGCAATTATTTACAATGTCTGTGCATGATTAACTTGAATCATTATTTTCTATTTTCCATCTTAGATATTTTTACATCTGATTGGCATGAACTTGATTATTCACATTTTCTGTGCCCAGTTTGTTGCCAAGGAAGGTGATACAGTCACACCAGGAACTAAGATTGCTTTCATCTCAAAATCTGATTCAAGTGATACCCATGTCACTCCGTCAGAGAAACTGGATCAAGATACTCCAAAACCTGGTGCAAAGGAAGCAGACAAAGCAAAGCATATTGTTGAAGAACAAATCAAAGAAAAGCCTGATGTGGCAACTGAAATCAAAGAAAAGCCTAGAGTAACTTCTCCTGCTGCTCCTAAACTGTCTGCTTCTGAACCGCAGCTTCCTCCCAAGGAGAGGGAAAGACGTGTGAGTCTCAAACCTTTTTCTTCAAATTTTCTGCTTAATTATTTATAGTTTAAGTAGAGGTTATGTGCTAATCTTTCCAACTTTTTTAATTTTAGGTTCCCATGCCCAGAATTAGAAAAAGAGTTGCTACACGGTTGAAGGATTCTCAGAACACATACGCAATGCTTACTACATTTAATGAAGTGGACATGTAATTTTCTTCTTAAATAGCATGAAGTATATTTTTTTCAATCCTAAGATCCGTTGAATTACTTTCTAACCCATGGCATGGCTTTGTACCTTTTCAAACTAACTTAAAACGGCCCCCTTTTGTGGCTGCTGTTCCATTACAAGTAGTTAATAACTTGCAACTGATTTTTTCCAAACGTTATAATTTAAACTTTTACCTGAAGGCTCTACGTGGCTTTCTAAATTCCTTGTTTTAAATATTTACTGGTTGCTATTTTGAATTTTGGATAAAATCACGTGTAGGACGAACTTGATGAAACTCCGTTCTGACTATAAAGATGCCTTCGTAGACAAGCATGGCACAAAGCTAGGACTCATGTCAGGTTTTGTTAAAGTAAGGAGATGTTCTACTTCCACTGAACAAGTTTCCATTTCCTTGATAACTTTGTTCTAATGCATCTTATCTTACGTAATAAGGCTGCAGTTAGTGGACTGCAACAGCTGCCAATCGTAAATGCCGTAATTGATGGTGAGGATATTATCTACAGAGACTATATTGATATCAGTATTGCCGTTGGCACACCTAAGGTAACGTTTTTTTGCTTTGCTAATCATGCTTTAGTTGAAGTTATGTTTATTTGTTTTCATAGAGGACTTATGTAGGACATATTAGCATCTAGGGTTTCATATATCAATCTAACATGCAATGTAAAAAATTGCAACAAGTGCGCAGTGGGACTCAAGCTAGTGATCCAAACAATTATTTACTATCTTATTTTCTTCTTATTCTTCTTCTCCTTGTTTCTTCTAGGCTTCTTGTTTTTTTTTTTTTTTTAAAGTGGGATAAAGGTTTGATGTTATTGTTATTGTTATTGTTGTATTTTTTTTTTTTAAGCTCATTTTGATATGTAGGGCTTTTATTTTCATTTTTTTGTCATCTCCTAGGTTGAGAGAGAAAGCTAAAGATAATGCTAGGATGGAGGGAGACTGGAGAGTGGAAGCGAGCCTGCCTGTTTGAGGAGAGAGATTGTGTGGGTTTAATGGATTAAATCTTTCTTGGATAATTAATCCCTAATACAGGTTACTATTTATGGAGAAAAACATGGCGAACATTTAAATATAAATTGCTAGCTAAACTTCCAAGTAGTTTTTGAAACAAATTCCTTAGAAACTCCACCCATGGTAAACGGACCGCCTTAATCTTATAGGATTAGGATTAATCTATTAGCAAATCCTCTCCTCACCTTCATATCTTAATTTTTAAACTCCTTATGCTTTACCCCTTCTAAATAATCGGAATTACTGTATTTAATGGCTTGTTTGTTCCCTTCATGGTGATTTTTAGGAGAGAAATGGTCGTGGAGCTGTATTATTGCTCTCATGCATCTATCTTGCCATTCTAAGATGTTGTCCTTAAATTCTGACGGTTTTGAATATCCAGAGCCTTTTAGATAACCATTTAAAAGCCAAGGCTGACAAATTTTTAATGGTTTTTTTTTTACCTCAATTATAATCTTAGTTAGTGGGATAAAGACTTGTTGTTCTTGTTGTTGTAGTTATAATCTCAGTTGTTCTGAATATGATAAAAATACACATCAATTTACCTTATATTACATGTTTTAGACTACACTGAGGTTTCGTTTGGGACGGCTTTCTTTTTACTTTCTAAAACAGCTTTCTAGTACAAAAATTTCTTGAATTTGAAATTTTTGTACTAGAACGTCATTTTAAAAAGCAGTACGAAAGCTATCCCAAACGAACCCTGAGTACACTAAAGGTCATTTGTTTGGAGACATTTCAATCTTTATTTGGCTATGATTAGTTCCATTCGACTCATTTGATTATGACCTTACTTCTTGATCAGGTTAAGTTTTAACTTCAATCCTTTGCTCAACAAGCTTTCCTTGTATTTTTTTATCAGGGCCTTGTGGTACCCGTTCTCCGTGATGCTGACAAGTTGAATTTTGCGGACGTCGAAAAGAACATAAACACTCTCGCTAAGAGAGCAAATGAAGGCACAATATCAATCGATGAAATGGCTGGAGGCACCTTCACAATATCAAATGGCGGCGTCTATGGTAGTCTTTTGAGCACACCCATCATTAACCCTCCACAGGTACACGCCTCCATCTCTTCAAGTCTGGTTTTACATGCTTTTGAGAAGCTCTAATTCTGGAGCAATTATTCTGTGCGGACACTTGGTATTGAGCAGTACCGAGTGCGATACATTTTTTGAGGCAACGTGGCGCATTTTTATTGGTGTCCGGATGAATCCGGACCCGCAGGTAATAATATTTCCTAATTATGTCCTTCTTTGTGTTTTACAGTCAGCTATCCTGGGAATGCATTCGATTGTATCGAGGCCGATGGTCGTCAACGGGAATGTTCTTCCGAGGCCTATGATGTACATCGCTCTGACCTACGATCACCGGCTTATCGACGGAAGAGAGGCCGTCTACTTCCTGCGACGAATCAAGGATGTTGTTGAAGATCCCCGCCGCCTACTTCTCGACTTGTAGGCCATGGGCAAGCTAATGCCCATCACCTCCTTCTTTCAGCTCATTGAAACTGAATAATTCACCTCAAAAACTAAATTTTGGCGCATTGTTTTTAAGCTCTTTGTATGATGGGTGCAGCTGTTGGGGGTGAGATCTAGTGAGCTGCAGCCATCACGATGATTCTGGTGAGTTTCATATTGAGTGGTAGTATTTATTTGGCAAACTATTCAAGTTTTTTCCGCATTTTGTGGATCGCCAATGTAGCTTTAATTAACGAATGATAACTTGCTTTTGTATACTGTGATCTTATTGTTTAAATTAATACTCTGATGGTTTATTACTACTCTATTTTGTTGTTATTGATATTTCTATAGATTGTCAGCCTTCTTTGTTTGTGATTGCTTTACCTCTTTTCTAGCATTGTATTATCCTTACGAATGCTATTGTTGGCTGCTTTATATATCTACTAGTTTAAATGCACGTGCACGTTGTGCACGTTGACAAAACTCAAGAAAAAATATTATTATTATTATTAAATTTAAGAAATAGTAATTTGAAAATTAATCATTATTAATAATGATACTAACATTTAATCAAGAATTTTTATGCTAAAACCAACAAAAATATCTCATTAATCCTCATTAGAACTACAACAAAAGAATACAATAGGAGAGAAGAGAACTATAGAAGCATTGGTTATTGGACAGTCCAGAGGCGAATTAGGATTGGCCCCGTCATCCGGCACATAGAAAAAAAAAAATGATGTGATGCATTCTGATTTGTCTTTGGACGTTGTTCGGTGACCGCACAAAAATTTTCTCCTATATAATTGGGAGAGGGCGTGCTTTTTTTTTTCTTTTTCTAAGGACATGAAATAAGAAAATTACTTCAATAACATCACTTTGTTTTGAAATAAAGCCCCCTCAATTTTTTTTGCTTTTTATGTTAAATATATTATTAATGGTATGATAGATTAGAATACTCTTTGAAAAAATAAATAAATAAAATGAAAACTCCTTCCATCACATGCCACTGCTCTCTTGTGAAACTATGTATTAAAAAATATTTATATGTTTCTATTTATTAAAAAATATTTATATGTTTCTATTTATTGAACCCATACTAATTTGAATGGCCAAAGGCAGGCCAACTAAGGAAAAACGTTGATTGTGTCCCTCAAAAGGTCATAATGAGGAGAAATTATTATATGTGGTCATCGACCATAGTCAAGGGGTGAATCAAGACTCGTTAAGTCATCATTTGCGGTGTATCTGTGCTATGTACCGGGCTGACGCGGCACATCCTAATTCACCTTTGGACCATTAGATGATCGCACGTAATAATTTCTCTTTAATCAGAAAAGATTGTGGAAAAGGAGGAAATGGGCAGCTGGCTTTTGCTCCAAGGAACTTTTATTTGGTCCGATCACAGGACGTAGCTCTACGTTTGACCGCTAGTAGAATCGCGCCACGCATTTTCACTATTTACAGCGCGCCTCGACAACCCGGCCCGGAACGGACCTAGGATTGCTCGGTATTTCTCGATTTTGCTAGATATTGCTCGGTATTGCTAGGTATTGGTCGATGTTGCTCGGCAATAACCAATACCGAGCAAATACCGAGCAATACCGAGCAAATACCGAGTAATACCAAGCAATACCGAGTTTTACAGAGTTGTACCGAGTTTTTCTAGAAAAACTCGGTACAACTCGGTATTGCTCGGTATTAGTCTTCACATAGCAGTATTTCTCGTTATTGCCAAACAATATCTAGCAATACCGAGCAAATACCGAGTAATACCTCGCAATACGCGAACATAACATTCCCGGGCTCCGGTCCGGGTCAAGTCGTCGGGCCGCGCGGTAAAGAGTAAGAGCACGTGGCAACATGTTATTGGCGGCCGAGGTAGCTCTACGTCCGGTCAGAGGACGTAATAATTATTCTGCTCCAAGCCATCCGATTAAGCCTCTTAATTGATTTAGAAAGTTTTGGATAATTAAATTAGGCAAATGACTAGCTTTTTTTGGAAAAACTAAAAAAGAAAAAAAAAATAGTTGAGTGCACTTGAATACTTGAGTTAGACCAGATTCCATTAAGGTTAATTTGAAAAAACTTTATTCAGATTCGGCTCAGTGAGAGCTGGTTCAGTTGAATAAACTCAATAAATGCTAAATTGATCTAGTTGATAGGATTAATTAAGGATGATCTATTTTAATCCTATTTTAATTAGAGAAATCTTACATATTTGAATTTAAATGGATTTTGCTCGAACTAATATTGATATTTTCTGTTAATCTGACTCAATTTTTTTTTATCAATCGACTCAATTGTAAATCGCTAAGATTTAATTAGTCACCATCAATTGATTGGTCAAATCGACTAACCTGATTTAACTGGTTCGAGTCAATTACATTGAAAATTGGATGGAATTTAAACAATTTCATATAATCCAGTTTATTCAAATTTGATTTTGGTGATGATTAAAATGAAATTGGATTTGACTTGACTAATTGAGCTCACTTTGATCTTCCCAATCTGTTGAATTGGGTTTAAAACGGTTAAATTCGCAAGAAAATTGAACCACAATAGACTGGGCCAAACTTAAAATTAGGGGTATCAATTTTTGACACGACCCGAACTTGACTCGAAAAATCCGGGTTAGGGTCAACCCAGACCCGAAACAAGGCAGGTTTGGGTTCAACAAATCAAATCGTTTTAAAAATTGGGTCGGGTTGACCCAGCAACCCAAAAATGACTTGAAATTGACACAAAAACTCCTATTTTAACCTGAAAACCCGAGATTGACCCAAAAATTGAAGATTGACCCGATTTTTGACCTGAAAACTAGCAATTTTATGTCAACTTCAGGTCATTCGTGTCGGGTCGGGTTGACCCAGACCCGAATCGGGTCGGGTCGGATTGACTTGAATAGTGCCATATCAGTTCCGGGTTCGACCCAAACCTGACCCGTTGACCCGAATTAACACTCCTACTTAAAATAGGCTTAGGGAACCCTAAGGGATCTATGAATCTCCTATGTCAAGTCAACGCTATGTCATCGAGCACCAACCTAAGGGAAAACCTAGAGGAAAAAAAAAGCTAACCTCATAAAAATTATTTAATTAAATAGGATTAATTAAATTTTGAGTATAACAAATCAGACTGTACCACCATTCCATCGTATAGGACTACCACTTGTTTTAAAAAATCCCGCCGTCGAATCCTGGTTATTTAAATTAAGCCAATTTGAATTTTAAAATTTGAGCTAATTAAACTATAAGAACTTGTTTGTACTTTAATTAAGTTTCCTAATTTAATCTTGAGATTAATGAATCAAATCAGATTTAATCTTCATTTAGGTTCATATGGGACAATCAACAGAGACCTCTTTTGGATGACCTTGAATAGTTCTAGACAATATGTTATTCAGTTGAACTAATTGTACTTTACAAACTGAAGATCATATTGTATGATCAGAAGCAGTTTAATTGAAAATTAGGAAATTTTTTGATCCCATTTTATAAATTCTTTTGTTGCTTGTGAAAACAAGTCTTTTAGCGGTCAACTAACATTTTCTTTTTATGTTAGAGCATGGAGAAAGTCCACATTAACAAGGGAGAGAGAGAGAGAGGAGGTGTAGCTGAGAGAGGGACACGAGCCTTGAGGGAGTCAAGGGAGTGTGACGGGGTTCACACGGTTGCTCCAGCTGGCCTGCACCTTGGGTCCTACAGTTGTGCTTTTGGTGGAGATCTTGGAGAGGAGCTCTAAGAAGAAGAGTCATTAGGGCTAAATACCTCATAACAGAGGAGGCTAAGGGTTTCAGCACTTGTGACAGGTCAAGAAGCCAAAAGAGGGATCAATATATTTGTCGGGTCGAAGGTATATTCAAATCTACCGAATTAAAAGTTAAACCATATAAGTGAGAAATGTCTAAAGATTCTTGGTTCCAAAGATAAAATTTCAAACTTAGAATCTATTCAATTCACTTTTATGAAAAAGGCGGTGTTTAAGAAAATAAATGAAGGCTAGTTTTTCAAAGATTGGGATAGAGTGCAAATTTAAGAGTTTGGAGCTATAATATATAAATATATGGGTACCATCTCCCATCACTTTCTTAGAAATATTTTTATTTTATATCAACTTGACCAATAAATAAAATAGATGATAATACTAAATTTATTTTGATAAAAGTGTAATATAAATTGTAATTGTTTGATCATACATTGCACGCATCTCAAGACATCTCGCTCTTTATGCATTTATCATAAAAAATAAATTATATATATATATATATATATAATTAAATTTTAACTAAAAATTCGTTGACTTTTTTATAAGAAAAAAGTGACCGGTCTATGCTTTTCAGTTGACTTTAGAAGTTGCAATATTATAATTGCAGGAATTGACAAATTATGGGTTTCCACAGTCCAACAAACTTTTAAAAGAAAAAAAAAAATATTGACGCTTTTTTAATTTATTGCGTGATTTGCGAATTGGTGGAAAAATAAAGAGAAATTTTGACCAATATTATGAGGGAAAATTTTAAATAAATAAAAAAAATCAAAATTTAAAATCTGAAATGGTTTATATTCATTGAATTTATTTAAAAATAAATATAATCTAAATATTTAGGTGAATTTATATTCATAATATTTTAAACTATTTCATTTATATTTTTAACAACAATATTTTATTAATTACTAACATCACATATGACTTGTATATTTAATTTTAGTAAATAGCATAATAATTTAATCATTTATTAAGCATAATAATTGTCATCTCATGCTTGAATAAAATTTCTTTTTAACAATAGATTATTAGAATATTACATCTTTATTTCATTAAATAAATATTTATATTTATTTTTATCATTTAATTTTCTCAAAATACATAAATATTGGACTAAGTTATGAATTTTGCAAAAAAAATTAAAATAATGATAACTTTTCATATAATAAAGTTTGAAAAATTGGTCAATTTTTCTTTCAAATAACTCATATTTTTTACATTTTCCATTTGGAAGAGTTAAATAATTTCCACTACGATCATGCATTCCTTTAATAAAAAAAGTCAATTAGTTCATCATTTAATATTATTTCAAACTATACCCATTCATATTTCTCATAAGTTCATTTTGACTTGAAATTACATGGATTAAATAAGAAGTTTTCTTTTATATATATAATTAAAAGCTTAACTTAAAGATGTCAAAATGACTTAATGTGTTGGGTTCAAATTCAAATTGAAATTGATCTCATAGTTAGGTTGAGCCTAACTTGTTTCATAAATGAGTCAAAAAGGTGGACCCAAACTTAATTCGATGGTAATCTGGATAACCTGAAGCAACCTCATAACAAGGTGTGTCAATTTTGAGTCACGAGTTGGGTTTGGGTTGAACCCCGAACTAACCCGATACTATTCGAGTCAACCCAACCCGACCCACCAAGTGCCAGCATGTGTCGCTGTTCTTGCATTTGCGATTTGTCGTCGAAGGAGGTGTAGCAGCTGACAGTCGTTACTGCCGCTGACCAAACCAAAAGAAACGTCGTTGAAGGAAGCATTGGCTAGTTCTGCAATTGGGGGCGATGAGCATCTCCAGGCAGCGACGAGCTGCCAAATGACGGCGTGACGACCAACGAAGCGGAGACCAGACCGCCACCGATGCACGTGAATGACTGAGTGGAGCTGCGGAGGTCGTTTACTCGTTCAATTTGAGCTACCAAATGACAGTGACGCGACGACGAATGAGCAGGAGTTAGTACGGGACGACATGACTAGGATGGAGAGCGCCAGACGAAGTGATGGATGACACGACAGAAGAAGCGATCGGCGTCTGAGTGGGAAATTCGGGTCAAATTGTCTTATTTTTCGGTTTCCGAGTCAACCCGAACCTGACCCGATTTTTCAAACAATTGAAATCCTGAACCATAACCTGACTCGATTCGAATTCGAGTCAACCCAAAACTAAAATTTCGAGTCTGATTTTCGAGTCTTGTCAAATATTGACACCCCTACTCATAATCCTTATTTATTTAACAAAAATTCGAACTTTTCAACTATGTAGTCTAGGCTAATTGATCTAAAATAAAAAGAGTATATCAACAAGTAAAATAATAATAATAAAAAAAAACATGTTAGTCTAGAGTTCAAATTGTGTTTGTGGGTCAACTTGAACTGAACAGTTTAATGGATTGGAATTCAGAAATCAAAATTGATAAGTTTGTTAGACGGGTCAATATGAATCCGAATTTTTGGGTCTGAACTAAGTCAAAAACTTATCTTAATTATAATAATTATTATATTGGACATAAAAATTAGTATTTTATAATTTTATTTATTTAAAATTTTCTTTTTTTCCGTTTTGTTTTTGTTTTGGTCTTCGTGTAATGCCAACTTTGACCAAAAAATACAAAGGCACTAAAAAAGGGAAAGTATAAGAGGAAGAGAGGAAGGAGCCGAGAGAAAGAAGGAGAGACGCGCTGAGATCTTTTGCTTTGCTAGTTTATTTTGGCTTCTAGGGTTTCACAGTGTGGGAGGTTTTTCTGGATCTTTTTCTTCTCGCTTTCATTTTCTTCTTCTTTCTCTGTTGCCAACTCTTGTTCCTTCGTCGTCGGGGAGTTAACATTTGGATTTTTGTGCGGAGAACTTGATTAACTGTCCTTCGCTTTTCTTCATTCGATTCTTCTTCTTTGGGAGTGGAAAAAGATGAAGTCTTCGCTTAGGAAACTGAGAGGATTCGCCCTCCACAAGAGTGCAGATCTCAAGGAGAAGAGGGACCATGGAGTACCTGCCCGCCAAGATGAGCTCGTTCAGGCCTCTCAGGTTTAATTATTCTCGTTCTCCTCGTCTCAATGGGTTCTTGCCTTTCGTCGATTTGGTACTGAGGTTGATGGCGATGAGTTTACTAAGGAAATTTGGTGCTTTAGGTCGATTGAATGCGGTGTTCTCCCAAGCTGAAATTTTTTTTTTTTCTGTTAGTTACTTGGTCGTGATTCCGAAACAGATTAGTTGATGAAAAGTTTAAACTTTATAAGTTTGAGTTGCAACAACCTCTGTAAACGTTCGGGTTTTGCTTTAGTAATAACAAAGTTCATGGTTGATGCATTTAACTTGCTGATTCTCATTACTTCCCTTCCCTGTCAAGCAATGCAATAATCAGATTACAGATTTTTGCTGGATCCTGGATTTACCTGCCTGGCCAAGTGCCAAAATGGAGGTTATTTATTTAATAATTTGCAATTAAAATTACAATGGCCCAGCCTATCTGTGTTTCTGAAGCATTATATAACTGCATCGATGGATTTCCCATGAACAAAATTGTTAATAGATTTGAGTGCTCCAAACAGGATATATTGCACTTTGGTTTGAATATCATGCATTGTAATATCATAAGTTAATTTAGGGTTACCTTATGACAGTAGCTTTATAGAGGCACCCGCCAAATCCAAGTTTTGACTTTGGAATGTGAAAAAGGCAATGCAGTGGTGCTTGCTTGAGAAGTTTCTCCAAGTTCTCAGAACACCCTCAAAATTTTATTTCCTGGAACTTCCATTTTTTGATTGGTAGTGGAATCTAGCAAGGTCTTTCATTTACTAGTAGTGATGAAACTTCATGAGAAGCCACATTCAGCTGTGAATTCAAACTGTTTGATTTAATTTCCATTATTCAGATATGTTAAATGGAACTCGATTGTTTTCAGTGTGGCATTGTTGGCTTTGGTCAATGGATGAACTGTTAAGCCTTAACTATGTTTGGAGTCAGGTTTTAGTTTTGGTTTAAATTTAGTTTTTAGTCTGTTCAGCTCTCAGTTTACAGACCATGATCGTAGTTTCCTATAGAATGCACATTACCTCTTTTTTCTGTAGTTGCGTAATATATACATAAGATAACTAGGGAAGGCCAGTTTCTTTGATCACTTAAACTGAGCAGATGAACAATAGAAAAAATCCAGAAAATGGGTGTGCGTAACACCGTGGTTCTGTACTTGTTTATTATTGTTATTATTATATTTCTTGGCTTGTGTATTTGGTTTGACAGTGTATATCACTGGAATATTATAGGCTTTCAATATTTTTGTACAATTAATAACTCTACCATTCCATCTCTCCTTGAGCATCAAATACAGTTTGTTTTCAAATCTGGATTATATGGTTAGTAAATGTTGTATGCAATGTTTTCTCAAAGTTTGTTATCTTGCAATTCTACATGGCTGGCGATTCTTGGTTTAGTTTTTTTTTTTCCTAATGCTATGATTTTTAGAATAGTGGAGTAGCATGCTTCTGCTTCTGCTTGTTTGAAGATCACTGTTCCATGTTTAAACTTGGTACTATTTTTTGCAGGATGTGTTAGACATGAGGAACTGTTATGATAGCCTGCTTTCTGCAGCTGCTGCTACTGCAGTTAGTGCATATGGTAATTCTCTAGCATATCATAATGTGGTTTTAAAGTTTGTTTTCTTGTGTTAGATCTGCATAGAGTCCAGATGTGTTGATTTTAGATATTCATTTATGCTATATGTTTAGGTCTTTTTAACTGTTAATTTTTTTTCTATCTTGAATTATTATTATTATTATTTTCCTACGTTAAAACCGTAGTATGGAATTGTAAGTAGTTCGCTTTCTAGAAATCTGTGTTTGTGTGTGTTTTTCTCCCTATTATAACATTTTCAATTTTTTGGATGAAAATAGGCCTATCTAGGGGTGCAAACGAGTCGAGTCGAGTTTTGACCCTTATCGAGCTCGGCTCGTTAGTTGGAAAGATAGCTCGAACTCGACAGGCGAGCTCGTCTCATTGTAAACGAGCTCGAGACGGCTCGCGAGCTGACTCACAAGCCATGGGCTGGACTTTTTCAATTTAGACGAGATTTTTAAAACTGAAGCGGGATTTTTAAAACTTAGTCAAAATTTAGAAAAAAAATATGAAATGTTTAACATTTAAGTAAAACTTAGATGATTTTATTAAAATTTTAATATTTAAATTTAATAAATAAAATAAAATTATTTTTAAAATATTAATAATGAATTGAGCCGGCTTGCAAGCTCACGAGCCGAGCCGGCTCAAGCTCGAACTCGAGCTCGAGCTCGACTTGTGAGCTCGATAATCTTGTCTCGCGAGCCCATAAACGAGTCGAGTTTGAGACGGCTGGTGAGCCGGCTCGGCTCACTTACACCCCTAGGCCTATTAGCTTCTTAATTTAGGTTTAACCTAAATTGGATATAAAATTACTCATTAAATAGTAAGTAAAGATAAATTAGGTACATTAAGTGAGTATTGAAATAGCTTACTTAATTAGGCTTATTAGGAAAAAATTGAGTTAATTAGTTACTGTTTAATTATTAATAAAACTCGAGTTTATTAATAATACATACATTAATTAAAAAATAAAGTCCAATTAAGAGGTAGTAAGTAATGATTAGGGTATTCATTAGGCCATATTAATTATGCTATTAGGGATTAAAATAATAATTGATTAGTAACGTTTACTTACTATTTGTGGTAAACTATGCAAATCTTTTAGTCCAGTAACAAACTAAATATCTTAAATTCTAGTTAATAATTATTTATGATTAGGATATTAATTAGTTTTAAATAAATTTATAATAACATCATGTTGATCATTCAACAAATGTACATTAATGCTACTGTACTTTTATACCAAACTGCTTCAATTCTTATAGTGTGCTATGGTACTCAATACTCTTAATAATGATTTCATTAACTGTCATCCACTTTAGTTAATTGCATATCACAGAGTACATCACAATACAATCTTGTTAAATAGGCTTTAATCAGAATACGTTTAAATTAAAATATCTTGGGGCATTGAAACAACATGAAACTATGAAAGTAAATTGAAGAGTGAAGAAAGGGTTCATAGGCAATTAAAGGAAAGAAAAATGGTGATTGAATTACACAAAAAATGCCTGAATATTTGTATGACTTGGGAAAAATAGGTGCAAGGAGTAATTATTACAAATTTGCTCCCATTTTTATTTTTTATTGAGTAGGATGCAAGTTGGAGGGGGCATATTATCATGTTTTAATCTAGAAAAATTCTCTATCTGATGCCTATGAGAGTTTAAATCTTTAATCGGAACATATCAATAATTGATTATAAGAGATTTTTCTTCAACATGGCCCACTTTCACTTCCAGGACAGCCTAATATATTATAGGGAAGATAAAATTGGGGTGAATTTTTATAATTGTTATGGAAAGCAATTGAATATACTACTCAGGCTTTGTATAAAGTATGGACAGTCTATGCCTTTTTGCTTATAGTCAATCTTGAACTTTACTTTTGATTTTGAACCAACTCTATTTCGATTGAGTTTGAATAGGACAACTAAAAATAGTTTTTGCAAAGAAGTTGTAAAATTCGTAAAAGAAACTCAAGGGAGGAGATTAATCTCTCCATACTACTAGAAAACAAAACCTGCCAGAAGGCATCGACTAAGTTCTGTTTCCTTTTTCACCATTACATTTTACTTTTAAATTTTTTTTTATTTATTTCTCTTCTATTTGTTCTAGCAATTTTTTGCAATGGTTAGTGTGATGCTCTTGGCACCCTTGCCCTTTTTCAAGGATGGAATGTTTTTTTAATGTTGAGGTTGCATGCTGAAACACTTCACGGATTCATATTTTTTTCCAGAGTACAATTTCTGATAGATATGTTGTTTCTTTTTTTTTTCCCTTCTGCAATTTTTCTAATATATGGCTTTTCTTACTCAGAATTCTCCGAAGCCCTGCGAGAAATGGGTACTTGTCTGCTTGAAAAAACTTCGTTAAATGATGATGAAGAAAGTGGTAAGTGCGAAATATTGCTTTTAAATTCTACTAGTATTAAAGGTGTATTTGATCATTAGGGAAAAAGGTTAAAGGTTATTAATCTTAACTAATGTGGAGCTGCACTTTTTTTCTTTAGTTTGCATAGCAAAATTGCTAGATTTCATTTTTTTTAGTTATACATGTCAGCAGACCATTTTTTTTTCTGTCCTTGCTTCTGTGGGCTTATTTGACTGTGCATGTACAGTTTGCCTACTCATATTATTAAATATTTCTGATTTAAAATTAAGCTAGAATATTTAGGGTTAAATTTTTGGTGAGGACATCCGATCATGAAGATTTTCAGAGGAGGAGACGACAATCGACAGCCGAGATCATTCCACTTTATCTTAATTTGTTATTTGTAATTTTTATTTTTATTATGAATTTTCTGTTTTTACCCTCGCTTAAGAGGGTCGTCTTATGTAAGCCCTAGGGGCATATGTTTCTTGTTTTAATTTCTTAGGCTTACATATAGAGGCCCTTGTTTGTGTAATGGAATGATGAATTATTAATAAAAAAAAGAATTGGATCCTTTGTCTTGATCTCTGTGTGAGTCTGGAGAGGAAAAGTCCTATGGGAGGACAACCTTGTTTCCACCAGCCGCAGGATGGATCCGGGCTCGTGGATTGAAGTCCCTCGGGGAAGGCAACATAGTACCCACCAGCCGCAGGAAGAGTCTGGGCTCGTGGTTTGTATCGTTTTTACTTTATTTTTTCGTTGTTCTCCGTCTCTCATCTCCAGTCTCCACCATTCACCATTTGTTTTTTGTTTTATTTTGTTTGATTTTGACTAACTTTTCTTTTGGATCAAACATCAACCCCTCCACCTCCATAGCCGGCCGACCACCTCACCCCTAGCCTCTTCCCTCCACAAATTTTGAATTCAAAATAGCCTCTTTATTACCTTCCTAAATTAATCTATTGTTAATTTGGAAAGTTCCTAATTTGAATTCAAAGATATTTGAATTTCAAATCCTTTTCGAATTAACAAATCTATTTTTGAAAGCATTCCCCTAATTCCTCTAAATCTGAAATCAATTTCAGATTTAATATCAAATCTCATTTAATGCCTTGGGCCACATACATCATATGTTGACATCTCTCCCCCTCCTTTGGCCGCCCCCCTTTTCCCTCACATATTAATTAATTCCCCTCAATTAATGCTCTCAATCAAATCCCTTTTCCTCTAAAATTTATTCTTTCCTAAATTAAGTTGTTCTAATTTTGGTAAGTTTTCGAATTCAAATTCAAACAAATTTGAAAATTTAAATTCTTTCCTAAATCATTTAGCTTAATTTTTGGAAAGCCTTCCTTCAATCAAGGATTGGGTAAATAAAAAATTAATTGGGAATCAATTCGAATTCCACATTCATTGAACTTGGACACCCTATCCCCTTTCCCTATCTCTTTGGCCGACCCCTTCTCTCCCATTTTCAATTAATTTGAAAATTCCAAATTCACACGACCCCCTCCATATTCGTTCTACATCAATTTCCCTCCAATGTCTTGTCATGTCAGCAGAATTAGTAATTTTTTAAATATATCGTCTTAGCATTTTTCGGGTGAAGAAAACAAAATACCTGATATTTGTTTCAGATTCAACATGCAAGTGATGATGGCTCTTGATATTCAATGAACTGCCCTTGTTTCTGACATTCTGTAAGTTATAATTTCTTCATTATTTGTTCTGTAGGCAAGGTTTTGTTGATGCTCGGGAAAGTGCAGTTTGAACTCCAAAAACTTGTTGATAGCTATGTGAGTCTTGATGTTTGCATGTAAAATAAGAAGTTATTATATCTGAAATGCCTTAGTAGTTTGAAAAGGGTCTACTTTTTATGGAGCTGATTGCATTGTTTTTATTAGCGTGTCCACATCAACCAGACAATTACCACACCATCAGAGTCTCTTCTAAAGGAGCTTCAAACTGTAGAGGTACAATTTATAAAACCTTTTTTAGCATGATTTCATATATGTAGTATAGCATGAAATGACCCTTGAATTTGTAATCATTATACTTTTCTTGATATATATTCTGTTCGTCTGCTGGTTGCAATGCAATATTGAAGAAGGAAAAATGGAAATGAAATGGTCAAGGAGTTGAATTTGAAATTATTTAGTAATTGAGTGAATTTTTTTTTCTTTGTTGTTTAGTTGATGAGAAATTTAATTTTTCCTTTTTTGTGAGAAGGTGATATCTGAGCCACAATGGTTACCAATAAATTTTCTTCCCATTTCTTCAAAACGGTTAGATAGAGGATTGCAAATGAAAAATGCAGTTGTTCATATTTTCTAGGTAAATGCAATTGCCTATTTATTAAATTGTAACCAAACACTCAATATGATATTTTGCATTAAAGTAAGTGCCTTTGCATTTTCTCTGATTCCTTCTGGACCAAGCAGACTGTTTAGTTTTGGAATGTGTATCTTTAGAAATTATAGTTTGAAGAAATACATGTCCCACAACACAAATTATTATTATTATAAATTTCAGATCATTCAAAGTACTTTATTGCTTGGAAAAGCAAAGTACTATAGATTTACAAAAAGCTTCGCTTTGTCAGAACATGGTTGTTTTAGTTGATTTCTCGTACACCTTTTGGTTGAGTGTCATCTTTCATGTCAAAGCAGAAGCTTTTCTTCTATATATTTCTCTTTGGGTGGACAAATGATTTATTCTGTTGTAGTCCAGAAGGCACTATTATAGATTTATTTAACGTGGAAGTTTTTGTCATTGCAGGATATGAAACGCCAGTGTGATGAAAAACGGTATGCAATTCTTTAGTTTCTTGAATTTCCTAATATAAGAGAGGTCTACTTTCTAACATTAGTATATCCTCCTCAGCGATCTGTATAAATTTATGTTAGCTAAACATCTAGAAAAAGGAAGGACAAGACATGTTAAAGGTGAAGGTTTCTCAACGCAGCAGTTGCAGGCAGCTCGAGAGGATTATGAGGAGGAGGCTAATCTTTTTGTCTTTCGATTGAAATCACTGAAGCAGGGGCAGTCTCGCAGTCTACTGACACAGGCCGCCCGTCACCATGCCTCTCAGGTTTTTTATTTACCTATAGATGCTGGCATCATCTATTTGCTCGATTGAATCAGAGATAATTTAAAGTTCATTATTTGTTTTTTCAGCTAAATTTCTTTAGAAATGGAGTAAAATCACTTGAGATTGTTGAACCACATGTTAAAGCATTAGCTGAACAAAGACATATTGATTATGATTTTATTGTATCCGAGGAAGATGACTCAGAGGATGGTGAAGGTAATAATTATTGCTATGATGTCAATGAAGACAGCGAAGTGAGCTTTGATTATGGACAAAATGAACACATTCATGGTCTTGGTTCAACTAACAAAAACTCGGCGGAGGTACATTGTCGCTCAATATTTATTAATGAATTTCTTATCTAGTATTTACAATATGTGCTATGCTAAATTGTTTACTCATGCATCGATAATTTGGCCAATTGTGTTGATGGTTTCTGTTAATTGGTGTTAGCACTTTGAATTTTTGTTAGATGTTTGTTGAAGTATTCAAGTTGATGAAGAGGCATTGCAAGATTAAGTCAGGTTGGCAATTATGAGGAAGATTGCTTCTTGACTCTAAGTATTAAATTGAACATGGAGTAGGGAAATGTCTTATTATAATAATTACTTTGAAGTTTCTTTATATACTTTTGGAAATCATGAATTAGGATACTTACGGTTAGGTTTTATCGAAAGAAATGCCTTATTTAACCTTCCAGCCAGACTTTTTAAGGATAATTCAGTGATATGAAGATGTAATTTTTAACGGGTCATGAATTAACTTGCTTAAGATCATAGATGCTAAGCTTTTTGTTTCAACACTAAGCAGTTAAACTAATTGATCAGTGGTAGTACAATTCATCATTTCATTAGCTTTATCCCAGCCATTTATGGTTGATTTTATGGCTCTTTATTTGATATTCATTTTGATGAAGTGTTAAATGATGCAGGTATTGTTAACTATGTTATTTTTTCAAACTTTTTTATTTGGTTTAATTCTCCTATTTACTATTCTTTTCTCATTAACTTCATCTTATGTATACATGTTTTGCCCTCCGTTGTAGATACTCAAAATTCTTAGTTTTATTTTATCTGATCTCTTTAACTGATTATATTACTGCAGTCTCTCTTATAGATTTATCTGACATTATGTTCTTCTTGGTTTTACCCCCACTCATCTTAACTTTTTCTTTTTCATCACCTATAACTTTTTTTTTTTATTTGTCACCTTTAGGCTTGGTTTGATAATGCTATGTTATTGTAGTGTTGTTTTGAATTGAACTCTCACATAGATGGACAAATTACTTCATATGTGTGTATTGCGCTCATTAAATGTTAAGGTGCACATAGTTGATCTTGATTTCCACCATGGTTTAAAATTGTGCAATTAGAGGCTTGCCTAAGGCTCGCCTCAATGCAATTAAAAAAAAAAATACAATGATGCATATGCCCCATGCTTGGTTGCTTGCCAAATCAAGCTTATGCCTCAGTTGGGTTGAGGCACATTTTGAGGCACATCTCAACACAATTCTTACTCAATTATGAAGAGGCTTAAAACTCTAAAATTAGAGCTTAAGTAATTTAAAATTTAAATTTAAAAATTTGTATACACAATTAAACATATTTACTATGCATAAGTCAAACTAAACTTGAGAAGAACTATATAGACTCAAACTCACAGTTGCACATCATAGAACCCTTACGCTCGTACTCAATCCTATTATGTGGCCATCATTTCTTCGCCGTTGTCTCCTCCGCTGGCACCTCTCCTCTTGTTGTTGGAAACCCATTTCCTTAATCTTAGTATGAGGGAGGAGAACAAGTATACAATGATAATTTTAATGAACCTTTAAGTGATGAGAGAAGGGAGTTTTAAATTCATAAATTATGATGTTAGACTAGGCGTTTATGTTGAATTGAGAGTGTTATAGACTATTTGTTTACCGTTGATTGTAGTTTTATACGACTTTTTATGATCTTATTTTAACTTTTTTATAATCTTACTTTAATGTTATTATGTTACTAATTATTTCATATTTTTTACTATTTTAATGGTTTAATTCTGATCCTTACGCCTCAAAATACCTTTAGGCTTCTGTCTCACCTCACGGAAAGAAAATGCCTCAATACTTGATTGTGCAATTTCAAATTTTGATTTCCAAAATTTATTTTTCTCACATGTTTTCTATGAATTCTGTTATCATGATGTCTTTAGATGCACCAAAGCTTGACATTCTTCAACCCTCTATTTAGATTTTTTATTTAGGCTTAGTTTGGGACGGCTTTCTTCCTGTTTCTTGAAGCAGTTTTCTAGTACAAAAAAAGTTGTTTTAAGAAGCAGTAAAAAAGCAATCCCAAACGAAGCCTTAATTCAAATGCCTCTATCTTAAGAGACACTAGTTTGGGTGATGATTGATGTCAATTTGCTTTACTTACACCCACTGGAGATTGAATTTTTCTTGCCATTGCCATCATCGTATCCATTGATCCACATTGTAAAGATAGTATAGGTGTATGAAGTTTGAAGCCGTGACATGTCTGCAAATCTTTGCGTATTTGTTGTACATCTAAGTCCTATTGTTTTTGGTACTACATTGCTATTTTTTTTATTACATGATCTAGTGATGTCACTACATCCTTCATGAATGAATTCCACTAAATTCTTCAAGGGAAGAGTTCTATAAATGCAAGGTGATTGATGCTTTTTTTATCACATAATCCAATGATGTCACTCCCTCATGTAAATTTATATAAAACCAAATGAGCTCATGAATTTACGTTAGTGTGCACACATGAAAAAACACACATGTTTATTCTATTTATCCTTAGGAAAATCTATCTTTTAATGTTTTTATAAATAATTTTACTCTGCAAGCTGTTAATGCATTACACTTACTCATAATGGATCACTTTTGTCCTTGTTTGCAGCAATTGTTAGAGCAGAGTCATGGAGAGTTGCCCCCTTTTGTTAGGGGGACTATTTCTGTCAGCCAATCTGCGTCAATCTTACCTGACAAGAAATACGAACCATCTAAAGGAATCAAGCAAGTTCATGCTTCAACTCTAAGGGAAGTCCATACTTATGTTCTTCCTACTCCATTGGATTGTAAGAGCCCACCTTTCCTTGGTTCCCGTGATTCCCTCTCTGAAACTATCCGACATAATAGTGGTGGTTTGCCCAAACAGTTGTGGCATTCCTCCCCTTTGGAACCAAGTAAACCTGCTAAAGATTTAAAAGATGAACCGTCAAAGTTACCTATTTCACAATCTGTGCTCAAAGAGAGTAACATTAATGGTGGTCCAATCAAATTGCCCCCTCCTTTGACTGAGGGGTTGTCAAGATTACAATCAAATTCACAAAGTGGAGCTTCTGATAGTAAGTTTATTAAAAGACAAGCATTCTCTGGTCCTCTGTTAGGTAAATCTAGGACAAACAGTCCAATATTACCCACCAATGAGTATGTTCAGCTTTCTGTATCTCCAAGATTGTCCCCATCTGCCTCTCCTCTTCCAATGTTTTCGCCACAAATTAATGAACTTCATGAGCTTCCTAGGCCTCCAATATCTTACGCAAATCCTGCAAGACCTTCCAGTTTGGTTGGTCATTCAGGGCCATTGGTTCCAAGAAGTCAAGGACTTTATACAACAAATCGAATGTTATCAAATACAGCATCACCATTGCCAACACCTCCTGCAGTCATGGCTCGCAGTTTTTCTATACCCTCTAATGGCCAAAGATCAGGAACTTTGACGGTGTCTAATTTCCATGAGGCTATTCACAATCCAGAGGCGCATGAAGAGCTTTCTTCTCCACCACTCAGAAGAATCTCTCTCTCAAACACACAGCCATTGGCAAAGGGTTCAGGATTAGTTACTTGAGGTACAAAGCTCAATTGTAGAATTCTATCATTTTTTTTTCTAATTTCATCTCGATTCTCTTTGATGATATTATTTTTTCATTAGTTATTGGGCTTTTTTGTTTCTTTGCACTATGAATTACCAATAATTCCAGCCATGGGATCGTTAAAAATGCTTAAAATACCTTAATATGCTGTCTAATAAGAAAATCATAATATTCAAAGCAGGCATACAACTTATGATTTGGCTATTTATCACTTTCTAGTGGTAGCCTTTTTGTAGCCTACAGTTTTGATGTAGCCTTGGAATTGCTCTGGTGAGCCACCTCATGGAAAATGATGTAACCATCCATGTAACTTGGTCCTATGTTTTAACCTAGCACTTGAGTGCCTTGAGAGCCTTGTGGAGCACTTGTTTATCTCCAAGCTTTATATCTTTTTTTTTTTCTTTTTGAGTTGGGCTTCACAAACATTGTCGTTGTTAGGTCCTAAGTTCTGGATGAGAAAAGTGGAGTGTTGCGTTAGTTAGTCGATAGCCAGCGCAAAATTTGTCGAAGAATGACATGAATCCTTTAATATATTTTGTTAATGTTAGGATGTTACCTGGAAGCAATGTAATGTATGATCTGAATACAGTGAGAAGTGTATAAGGGCCGCTTCACCGATGCCCAGGTGCAATGTTAAATATGTTAGGGTTTCTACATCATGGGCGGATGTGGGCAAATAAGCTAGTCCATGTCCTATTTTTGTTGGATTACATCAAGCATATTCATTGATGTTCTCACTAGACATTTGCAAGAGGTTGTAACCTGATATATGCTTTTTGATGATAATATTCTTCTTGTTGATAAGATTAGAGAGGGAGTTGAAGGTAAACTTGAATTACAGAGGTCAACTTTAGAGTCTAAAGGTTTTCGTTTGAGTTGATCTAAAACTGAATATATGGAGTATAATTTTAGTAGTGGTAGATCTTGTAGGAGGATTGTGACTTTGGATGATCAAGTCATTAATTAGAATATACATTTTAGATATCTTGGGTCTATTGTTCATAGTAGACATTTTTTTTTTGCTTTTAGAGTTGGGCCTCACATTTCATGGGGATATTATTAGCATAATTCAAGTTGGATGGTTAAAGTGGAGGAATGCATCGGGCTTGTTGTATGATAGAAAAACCTCCCTCAAACTTAAGGGGAAATTCTATAAGATGGTTGTGAGACCTGCAATGCTTTATGGTGTAGAATGTTGGCCATTAAAAGAGAAGCAAAATATCAAGTTAAGTGCTGTAGAGATGAGGACACTTAGGTGGATGAGTGACTTTACTCTCTTAGAGACAGGATTCAAAATGAACATATACGTGAAAGGTTTGGAGTAGCTCTAGTGGAAGATAAGATTAGAGAGTCTTCTTAGATGGTTTGGTCACAAAACGACAGTCTTTTGATGACCCGGTTAGGAAATTAGATGTATTAGATTTGACTTATGTTAAGAAAGGTAGACGTAGACGTAAAAAAATGATTAGAAAATATTAGAATTGACATTTCTTTATTAGATTTAAATGAAAATTTGATTCTTAATAGGATCTAATAGAAAAAAGAGGATTCATATAGGCGACCCCACTTAGTAGGATAAAAGCTTGATGATGTTGTTGTTGTAGAGTTGGACTTCACAATTAATTTTTGTTTTAGTTGGTGGTGAAACCTACATTGTTGTATGGCGTAGAATTTTGGCCATTAAAAGAGAACATAAAGAGTGTTGTAGAGATGGGAATGGTCGGGTGGATGAGTGGCTTCACTCTTATAGACAAAATGCAAAATGAATATATACAAAAAAAAGGTTACGAGCACCTCTAGTGGCAGGTAAGATTAGAGAGAGTTGCCTTTAGATGGTTTGGTATCATAAAACGTTGGCCTTTCGATGACATGGTTAGGAGAGTAGTTATCTTAAATCCCTTTCTATATTAAGGTAGAGGTAGACCTAAAAAGATTTTGTTAGAAAATATTACAAATGATCTTTTTTATTAAATTTAAATGATAATGGAGAAAAAAAAATTTATGTAGCTGACCCCATGCAGTAGGATAAAAAATTCTTGTTGTAAATTTTGGATTCAATCACAAAATATTAATAGTAAATTAAGTTCTTTTACTCTTTAAATTAGCAGTCTCACTCTAACAAGTAATATACTGATTAAAATTTGAGTAGTTTTTTCTATTTCTGGTTGACCCTTTGCTATTATATATTTCTTATTCCATTAATACATCCACTTTTTTACTATTAATATTAATATTTCTTTGCTATTCAATGTACTTTTTTTTTATAATATTAATATTTCTTTGCTATTTAAAAATGTTTTGAACTAAAAGATTAAAAAAAAGCGCTATAACTTATTTGCTCTTTTTAGGTGCGGAATTTGAAAGATTATGGTTATGATAAAGAACAAGTGTTTTTTTTTAATTATTATTTCGCTTTTTAATTATAGTTTTTGCTGACTCATTGAAATTTAAACTTTTTTGCAGCTGCAGAACTGAATATTTCAGGCCCGAACAAAACAAGCAAAAATAATTGCTTTTTTGTGTACATAGTAATAGTAATAATCTGTGCATTCTGATTTTTCTCATCATTTTTTTTTTTGTTTAGCCCTCCATTAGATGAACTTTTTTTTTTATTTACATAAAATGTGCTTCTTATATATTAATTGTTTTTGTGCCTTGTTTTTCCTCCAACACATTGTCTCTCCATAGCAGGCTTCATTTGAAACAGTTTTTTAATATAGTTTATTTAGTTTTATTTTAAAAATAGTAAAAAAAACTTTTGCAAATAAAACCTCAATATGAAATTTTTGAAGCTTAAAAGATGTAATTTTTAGGGCCCTCTTGTTCAGCTGAAACAAGAATTGCGCAGCAAAATAAAAACAATATATTAAAATATATTTTGAGTTGTTTGATTGAGTATATTTTATTATTATTTTTTTGAAGTTAAAAAAAAAAAGTAGACTAAAATGATTTTGTTCATAATGATGCCTAAGCAGAGGTGAGGATAGGCGGTAGCTAGTCGACGAATTTTTATTGGGTCAGGTAACCTAATATAGAGATATATCAGGTAGCCAATAAAAAAAAGTCTTTATTTATAGATGAGGAATTTTTATAAACATTATATATGACGTTTTTTTATTGGCTATCTGATGTATCTCTACATCAGGTTACCTGACCCAATAAAAATTATTCCTAGTCAACAACTAGCTGTGGTTAACAATAATGGGTAGTCGAAGGCTCCGCATTGGCCTTTCAAAGGAAATTATTTTGTGCAGATGTTAGACACCGAATGTTGTTTAAAAATCAATCAGAATATATCATATTAGTAATACTGAGCTACGGTACTAAGCTCATGAGTGACAAGCAACAGCGATCATCCCATATTATTTTATGAATAATTAATACTTTCAAAGGGCTGAATTTGCTGAAATTAGGAATCTACTTTCATTCAGCCCCTTGTTATTATATAATTTGTTTTTCCTCTGATACACAGAATCCTATTAATGAGAATTCATTCAAAAGCTCCTCTCATAGCTTCTTTTCCCTAAAATGAAACAGTTCAAATATGACCAATTTCTTAAATTTACAGTACAAAAATTACCGGTGAGTAATAAAAAAAGAGAGTTTTGAATTAATTGACTGGGCATGTTTGTAATAAAAAATTGCAGAAACGAGATTTCAATAATGTGAAAAATTGCAATCAATTGAGTCACATAAAATGGTATATTGCTGTGATTCATCAATCTAAATTAGGGAGAACTACAGCTCAATTATAAGAGTTCAAATTGACTCAATAAATCAACTCATTCATTATAAAAATAAGAAAATAATTCTAATTTAAATAATTATTATAATAAAACAATTTAAATAATAAAAAATGTTAAAATATTTTAAATTCTTAGTACATAAATTTAAAATCTTAATACATTACAATATATTTTATATTAAATTTTTTAAATGAGTAGGCTGAGAAGCAGCCAAATTTATTCTCAAGTTTGCTCATCACAACTTCACCAACACAATTGTGGGTGCTGTTCCTCAGGAAAGAAAAGACAAACAGTGAAAGAAATCATCATTCTTCTGCTTGCAGGAGCAATTCTAACAAAAGTTTCGTTTGGAACAGCTTTCTTTCTGCTTCTTAAAGCTGTTTTTAAGTACAAAATTAAAAATTTTATACTAGAAAACTGCTTTAAGAAATAGAAAGAAAGTAAATCCCAAACGAAGCCAAAATCTCTCCTAATTTAAATCAGATAATCCTTTTTCATCCAAAATGAAGTCACAGAAAACTGATGAAAGCACAAGCTCTATAATTTTTTTTTAGGGTTTAGTGAAAGCTGTAAAAGACCAACCTGTAGTCTCAGTTAGCCGGAGCACAGTTTCTCCAAGGCTGCATTCTCATCACCCTTCACAGCTTCCAATACACTTCGGGCAAGTTCTTCAGGAAAACCCATCTCAACCAACTTACTCACCTGCTCGTTTTTATTTGTATATATAAAACCAAGCTTTAGTATTAAACTAAGCACAATAACAACTAAAAAAAATATGGAGTTAGGCCTTTCTTTACCTTCTCATCTATTCCAACAGTAGCAATTTTAGCGAAAGTCTCGGTCCAGTGACGAGCTGTGCCCACAAATTTCTGGTAATCACGAAGGTACTGCAAGATGTAAAGAAGGTTACTGAGGAAATGTCAAAATAAGGAGCTAAGCTTAGCTGATAGAAATCTTTTGAAATTGCTGTCAAGATTCTGAGACCGAAGCGCCAAAAAAATTTGGGAAAAAAAGAGAGAAGACGAAAAGATAAAACCTGTTGAGCAACCACAGCGTCCTGAGGATCATCAGGGGCAGGAGCTGAAAGCAAAGCTTGGAGTGATAGTAATGCGGTTTTCAAAGTGAGGGCAGGGCTCCATTGGTCTTTCAGAATGTCTAAACAGATTGCCCCATTTTGGCTGCTGATGTTTGGATGCCTTTGAACAAAAACGGAAAAGCTTAAAAACAGGATTTTCATTTAGAACACTGATTATTAGTAGGTATGGACGATGGGTTTTCCCTTTTTTTTTGTTCGGACAGAAAAAATGGAGATCCAAGTGATTTTGTTGCTGAGCTACAAGTAGGAAAAAGCTCAAGGATATAGAAGAGCAGCACCATGCAGCCAAGTAATTGGCAAGATGATGGGTGAAAAAACAAAAACTTGGACACTTTTTAAGGGTTTGTTTGGTTAGCTGAAAAAGAAATGCAATGTAAACGAATGCACTGTATTTGAAATGTTTAGAAGTTGTTTGGATGCGTGTAAAATAAATGCATGCGATTTTTTTTTGGCTTAAAATAAAATAAATGTGTAAAGTCCAAAGATAGAGGCAGTCGGTGGCTGACAGTAGCTGGGCCAGTGGGCAGTGGGTGGTGGCTGACGAAGGATGATATTGGTGATAGCTGGTGGAGGTCGACGATGAATGGCAGTAGTGGCGGCAATAATGGCTATTGCTGCCAGTGGTGGCCGATGGTGGCAGGTGAAGATAACGACGATGAATTTGTGGTGTATTTAGAAATTGTCCAAATTAAAGAAAATCCAAATACACAAAATTTGCACCAAAGGGTGCATTCAAATATACAGAATTTTACATTGCAGTTGTTTTACTTCAAACAAAACACCAATATTCTCAAAACTCTAGTATTTGAAATACTTTATACTCATTTTACTTCAAACCAAACAACCCCTTAATATAAAACAAAATCACAAATAGATTGTGCAATAAGACCCATGGATTCATTCTATTTTCTTTTTAGTCAATTCATGGATTTTCAATTCCACACAAATTTGAATAAATCTAAAAGTTTATTATGCTTATTTTCATGTTTAACTCCACATTTCCATTAAGGAGAATCGATGTGCTTATATAATTGAAACATGCTAGTTAAATCAACGAATTACATTGCCTTCACACCGAAATTATATATGGCATCAGACCAAGTCTAGCATATATACCTCTTTTATTCCAATGTCATTTGAGAAGAGTTGCATGTCCTTGGAGATTTGCAATACCGAAAGCTTTTCAACTGCCATCACTAATATCAAGCTAAATGGCCAAAATTATCCGTAATGATCATGATCCATTTGTCCTATTAATCCACTAGCATTATCCTATTTCGTTTTTTAGCAGCAATAAGCCTATTTCTTTTTTGGCAGCAACAACAACAACATCAAGCCTTTGTCCCACTACGCGGGGTCAGCTACATGAATCACTTTTCTTCATTTATTTTTTGGCAGCAATAAATATTTAATCCCTTGTTATAAATGTTACCTTCATTATATTTCTTTTATCATAAAACTGCAATTAAATCCAAGTATATATTAGTGTTATATTTCCGTATCTTAATCCAATACACATAAATTAAAGATATAAATACATATATAAATTATAAAATTAAACTCTGTTTGATTACAATCAACCATTAAAAAAGCGGACGAGACGTCCGCATTGAGTTGCGCCTCAAGTCGAGGCGGAAGTCATGCGTATCGGGGCTTACGCCTCGAACCATCCAGCGAAGCCTACGATTTTTTCGCACGAGGCGTACGCATCAGAGCGTAACACCTCGAGGCAGTACGAGGCACTGCTTCAAAATTTTTTCTTCGGTATATATGTAAATACGATGCAACCGATTCGTGTTCGCGTATAGGATTAGGGCTTCCTGTGAGAATTGAAAGGCGAACTGGAGGCGAAGCCGTGAGGGAAAGAGACGAAGCCGTGAGTGCAGGAGACGAAGTCGGAAGGAGACGACGTAGGAAATGAAGCCGAAAGCAATAACGGTTTCGAAAGTAGGAAACGAAGCCAAAGTTGTGAGTGCAGGAAACGTTCAGGCCTCGATTAGGTCGGAAGAGCAGGTGAGCAGTGTTGTGGGCCTTGATTTTGACGTGCAGTAACGAAAGCTTGAATAACTCCTGATTCAGCTTTCTTTCATTCGTCCGCTCAGTACATGCTCGGTACCGAGCCAGTACCACTCGGTATATGCTCGGTACTGAGCGGTACATGCTCGGTACCGAGCCAGTATCGCTTGGTACCGAACAATATATGCTCGGTACCGACCGGTACATGCTCGGTACCGCTCGGTATCTTTCCATACAAACAATTTACGAACTTTAAAAACAAGCAGTTACTGGTCGAAAAGCCATGGGGGAGGAACACCTACCAAAGGGAAGTTAATAGATGATAAACCTTTTTTTTTAATCTTAAATTAATAGAAGATAAACTTAGGTTGTTTGCATATGCACAACGAAGGATAGATAAAATTTATATCAAAAGGATAAGAAAAAATAAGTGATGAACCAAAAGTAATATAAATAGAAGTTGTGCACACAGATTTGCACATAATAAGTTTAACATCTCATAAAATACTCAACAGAAGTAAATAAAAAATAAGAATTCATAAAAATGGCAGAGATGGCGGCAACAAGAGGCTGATGGTGTCCATGAAGATGATTTTTCCTATAGTCTCTTAAGCCTTTATAAGTTATATAATCCCTCAAAACCTTGCAACATAGAATTTTTTGCAAGACATCCAAGGATTACACAATCTCAGCTAATCCTTGTCATGGTTTAAAATTGCGCAATAAGAGGTGCGCCTCAACTGAATTCCGTTCTTTTAAACCTCAAAGTCTACGCAATGAGAGCAGGGAATGAGGTGTACGCCTCAAGTTTACTGAGGCAGGCATGCCTCGCCTCTGGATTTAGAGGCGCCCGCCTCTTAAAATTAAAAAAAAAAAAAAAACCAACCCTAACCTAATCATTTATCTATATCGGCTTTGCACCCCCCCCACTCGCGTCTCCGTCTATTTCGAACCAAGGGTATATACTTACTCCCCCTTGTTTCTTCGAGCAACATTTTCCCCTCTTCGTTCCATTCGACCGGCGTCTGCTTCCTTCCACCGAGAGTTGCTCTTTGCCTCTTTCTTGACGTTCTCTTCTACCACAAGTTGGCCTGGAGTCTCCTTCGACCGACCGACCGTTGAAAGCTCTTCTTCTTTGTAGTTGGAGTTTAGGGCTTATTGACAAAAGTGAAACAACTTTACTTCCTCTTCTTCTTTGCACTCAAATGTTATTTTTTTATTATACCATCGCATTTATGAGCATCTTCCTTTGGTTTTCATTCATTTTGGAAAAAAAAATTCTTTTAAATTTTATGCAATCTTTCTTTATTTTATACATACAATTTTCAATGTCATTTGATTGAATGATTGCCATTGATATTGTAAGAAAATGAAAATGATAGGACTTTTATTTATGTAATATTTAGATCTTTTTTTGTTAGACTTATGTTTATGTGGGCCTGTGGTTTAGGCATGCATGATAAAAAGTATAAGATGCTCAATACATATGTGCATAAATTAATGCCGAAATTTTTAGTAGGAGAGGTTTACTACATGTTATGCATAAAGAATGTTTTGATCTTCTATGATACAAAAAATTTTTGTATACAAGTTTCAATGTCATTTGATTGAATGGTTGCAATTGATAGTGTAAGAAAATAAAAATGAAAAGAATATTGTGATTTGGGAAAGATAGATTTTGAGTTGAACTATATTTCATGTTGTATTATTATTGGGATATTTTGATTTCACTTCATATATTGTGCCTTTTTATGTTTTATATATTATTTAATCATTAGTATATAAAAAATTTATCATTTTATGTTTACGCAATCTTTTGATTTTGAGGCTTATGTCTCAAAACGCCTTGAGGCTTACGCCTCGCCTCACGAACGAAAAACGCCTCAATACCCGATTATGCAATTTTAAACATTGATCCTTGTCTCAAACATAATTAAAATTAGCCAGTATAGCAAATCCTAAAAGACATGCTTCTTTCGTTGTTGAGTTATCCTAATTAGCCTTAACATCATACCAAAAACAGCCTCAAGATATGTTATAGCAGATCATTGATGGAATTTAAAACTTTGACCCATCTTGATCTGATTGACAATTGCAACATTGTTTTTAGCAGATTTTTTGAGTTTGATGTGCTGATCTGCCTTAAATGTGTTCCATATAGCCTCTTTCAACCCCTACTTATCTGGTTTTATTGGAGCTCAACTTCCAGAGTTTCGTTTGAGTTGTGCTATGTTTCTACTTAGTAGATTGAAGAGATTGTTAGGGGTCGTGGTACCAATCCTACTGTTACTACGAGTCTCTTTATAGGTATTAAGTTGAACATGTTATGTTGAGTTAGAGAGTTACTAAGCTACCTCTTTACACCGTAGAAAACTTGCTAAAACAACAATCACAGCTTTGCCTGGAAAAGAAAATTCATCTTATTGCCTGGCAAACTGTGTTTGCCAAATGCTATGGGAGGCCTTTATATCTCACTTTTGAATATGCCGAACTTGGCTTATAAAATAAAAGTTTTCTGAAAAATCTGATGTAAAACTAGCATGTGAAGACTTGCATTATGAAATTATTAAATTAAACACAAGTTAAATTTAAAATCAGCAAGCTATTAATCATGGAGATGCGTAAAAACAAGCTTCAAACAAATAAGAAAGACAATCCACAAATAGCAATTAACACAACCAAAGTGTCACGTCTGGACCGGTCCGATTCTACACCCGGCGGCTCAAAGCCGGGCGGAACCAGGCGGAGAACAGAGAGGGGAGCGGGATTTCGGTGGGCCCAAGCATGGGCTAAAACACATTGTTGGAGGGAGAAATTTTGAATGAGGGGCTGTTTTAGGAAGTCCATTATTGTCCTTTATGATTAATTTGTATAATTAGGAGATTGGAGGGAAATTGGCTCCTCATCTTGAATTTTGAAATTTAATTTGAGATCTAGTTTTGTTTTGGGCTCTTGGCATCGCCGGAGATTGTAGAGAGTACGTTCTTCCTCTCGGATCGAAGAACAATTGTATCTTGATTACTTTGCTTTTCTTCCAGTGGAATACAAGTCCCTACTTGTGTTTTCTCTCATTTTCTTCCTATT